ATTACCTTGGTACTAATTGATCAACACTGATGTGCATATCTGGGAAGTAACATTCATAGGGTGTTGGGCAGGTGGGAGAAAGGGATGGGCAAATCCACATCTAACGGATGTGGTGCATGCTCTCTGGGGTATGGGGACCCTTGTCAGGCAGTGCAAAGGCAATTTATGTAACCAAAACATTTGTACCCCTGTAATACTCAGAAATAAAAAAAGTATATCTTTAAAAAAAAAAAAACAGCAATGACCAAAATAGACACAATTTCCTGCTTATATGAAGCTAATGTCCTAGTGGAGGAAGATTGGCAATGAGCAAATAAACATAGCAGGCAGAGATTAGAACTCTGACAAACTAAAAAATACGGTGGAGACCAGTGAGCACATCAAGCCTAGAGTCAGGGAAGTCTTCTCAGATAAGGGGACACTCTGATTATGAAAACCTCCTGGGGGCCGGGCATGGTGGCTCATGCCTGTAATCCTAGCACTCTGGGAGGCCCAGGCGGGCAGATTGCTCTAGGTCAGGAGTTCGAAACCAGCCTGAGCAAGAACAAGACCCTGTCTCTACTAAAAATAGAAAGAAATTAATTGGCCAACTAAAATTATATACAAAAAATTAGCTGGGCATGGTGGTGCATGAGTGTAGTCCCAGCTACTCGGGAGGCTGAGGCAGAAGGATTGCTTGAGCCCAGGAGTTTGAGGTTGCTGAGAGCTAGGCTGACGCCATGGCACTCTAGCCTGGGCAACAGAATGAGACTTTGTCTCAAAAAAAAGAAAACTTCCTGGGGAAGGACATTCTGGCCGTGGGAATAGCTGCCTCCAAGATCCTGAAGCAGGAACACGCCAGGTGTCTTGGAGGAAAGGAAGGAAGGCCCACGTGGCTGGAGTGTGAGGAGCACAAAGGAGGGGAGGGGTGGGCAGTAAGGCTGGACACACAGGCAGGGCCTGCAGGCCACGCGTGATGGCCAGCCTTCAGGAGGACCCTCAGTGACTCCTGCTTCTCGGTGTTCACTCCCTGTGTCGTCCCCTCCCACATTGAACAGGGCTGTCCTATGTCCTATAGCTATACCAACCCAGTTTTAGAGAACCCATGTGACAGCTATGTAAATGTTTAGATACAGCAGGGGCCTTCCTTGGCCCTCTTAGATCTAGACATCATTAACTTAAACTCCTTTAGAAAGACTTCTCTGTAGGATCTTCTGTTCTCATGGTTGCTGCTGGCTCCCAGCTAAACTGATTTCCTTTATACCAAGACAAAATTTTAAAGAGTGAAAAAAATAAAAAAAAAATAAACTGATTTCCTTCAGGGATTCTCCCACAACCCCACTGATGTAGTTCCTTATCAGGTAGCATGGATCGAGGTTTGAAACATACCCCTCTCTCACCAAACCAATCACTCACACGAGGTGTCTATAAATGTAGATATCTCTGCAGAAGGGTTAGGGAGAAGCAGGGAAGTAAGTTGTAGAAACATGAGCAGTGTTAAACTCAATCTTTTCCCTAACAGTCCTCTGCCATTTCCACAGTTCAGGCTCCAATTTCCCCACACATGGCTCAGACTTCCTCTCTGCTCCTTCCTCTTTCTCTTCCAATTCCAAATTTTTGATTCATTTTTATTTTTATTGTTTTGAGACAGAGTCTTGCTCTGTTGCCCGGGCTTGAGTGCCGTGGCATCAGCCTAGCTCACAGCAACCTCAAACTCCTGGGTTCAAGCGATCCTCCTGCCTCAGCCTCCTGAGTAGCTATGACTACAGGCATGTGCCACCATGCCTGGCTAAGTTTTTCTATATATTTTTAGTTGGCCAATTAATTTCTTTCTATTTTTAGTAGAGACAGGGTCTCCCTCTTGCTCAGGCTGGTCTCGAACTCCTGACATTGAGCAATCCTCTCGCCTTGGCCTCCCAGAGTGCTAGGATTATAGGCATGAGCCACTAGGCCCGGCCTTGATTCATTTTTAAATGCAGAGTATTCGGGCTCATTTTCTTACTGCTTTGATATGTGCAGACCTAGGCCCTGGGTCTCATGTTTCCTTAAAACATTTCCCAATTATTCCCTAAAGTTGTATTGCCATATAAAGAGCTAATCCAGACAAAGAGTTGATCATTTCATGGTTGTTATTATCTGCTGTCAGACTGCCCAGCAAAGATACTGTAACAATGTATACTGCAATCAATAAGTGATGCATCAATATACCTGTTTTGACACTGCCTCAGTGTCACCAACTTTTATTATTTTATCTAACAAAATTAGGTGGGAAATAGCATCTCTGTGTTCTTTTCAATTTAATGTTCTTTGCTTATTAGTGAAATCAAATCTTTTCCCCAAAAAACCAATTCCTTGTATTTGGTTTCTTCTTGTGTAAACTGTCTGCTCACATGCTTTGATCATTTGCTTCATCCTTTCAAAGAGCCTGGAAATGCCTGTCTGAAACTTTGGCGGCAACAATAATGTATCAGCCATTTGCAGCCTGTTATTGTGAGCCCCTGACACCGTTATTTTTGGCAAGGGACTTTAGTTCTGATCAGGGTCTTCAGCTCAGTCTAGTTAAAAGATTTTCAGCCCAGGGAACTTAAACCATCACCATTTCCTCCTGCCGTCTTTAACAAATGACAAGGCTGGAAAGTTGGCAGAGTGAGGAAGGATGCTCCAGTGGGAGGTAGGAGGAGCTTGTTTCTGCTTGTTTGTGATTCAGCGTTGTCACTCCTTGTTCAACCTGAATCAGTCCTGCTGGATTGATCACTCACGCTTTCTGACTCACTTCTCACAGCTCTGTCTAAATGAAGTGAAATCTAACAGATAAACAAGAATGTTTTCTGGCTGATGCTTTGTCTAGTCTTTTGCTCTAAATTAGCCTTTTCCAGGTAACCTGGAGCTGGACAGAGGTAGTTTCTGTCATTATAACCGAGATGATACAAGATCCAGGGTGTAGAAATAGAGTTATTCCTCCCTTCTCCCTAGATCTGAGGTCCAATCAATCACTAAATTTTGCCCATTCTATCTGCTAAATATCTCTTGAATCCTTCTACTTCTTGCCACCCAGGCTGCTGCCACCTTAGCACAGGGCCTGGGTTGCTCAGAGTGCTGTAAACCTCCTCTCAAGGCTTCCCAAGGTTGTTCTTGCTTCTCTGCAATCCATTCTACAACCAGTAAGACTTGGCTAAACAAACAAACAAACAAACAAACAAACAGCTAGCCAGGGTGAATTTAGAAGGGGTGTATTGGCATGTCCTTCTGGCTTGAGTGATTTGATTGCCTCTTTCAGCAAAATTTTATGGCTGAGGTGATTGACAGAGGGGGAGAAGGGGTGGTGAGGGGGGTGAAAGAGTGTTGCATATCCCCTGAAACTGGCAGGCACTCAATTCAAGTTCATTGAGTGATATTCCTAAAGCCCAATGGTGCAGAAAAACATGTGTGACCAGAAAAGGGACTGAGGTACGAAGTAAAATAGGGCAGGATGACATGCTACATTTGTTAATCTTCCAAAGGCAGCTATGTAGATCTTATGGGATGAAGTGGAAAGACATGAAATATAGGCAACCAATGAGTTCAGTTCAATAGTTAATAGACACAAGGCACCAAGTGAGGAGCTGCAGAAACTGTCAGGATAAGCCAACTGCCTTCAGGGAGCTTGAGGTTCTACAACAGGAATAATGTACAAAGCATACTTCTGTAAAGGCAGCAATACAGACACAAAGAAGGCATTACAGAGAGATTTAAGGACTAAAAGTCAGGGAAGATGTTTGTGAAGGTATCATTTGAGATGGATCTTTGGGATGGGCATGCATTAGCATGTTGGCTTTATTTGTAGCAGAAGAATATCCTTCTGAAGAAGGCAGCAGGGACGGCCGATCGCGTGGCCCCTGAAAGATCAGCAGATGGTGGCGAAGCTCCAAGGTGTGAAGGAAGATGGTGAATCTATGTGGCTGCAGGAGTAATTTGGTCTGTGGGGAGTTAAACCTAGAAATGTATGTCTGAGTCAATTTATGAGGGACTTTGTACGTCTGGCAGAGGAGATGTTGCATTGTGTGTCTTGCAAAGAAAGCGTTTGCAGATTTTTGTGGTAGGAGAACCGGAGTGACATGATTCTATCCGTGTTTCTAGCAGTCAGCTAAATGCGTCCCAGAACATAGTGATTAGGTATCATAAGTGCATGCTACTGTTGTGCCAGGCTGAAAGAGGGTAGTGTTCTGGTACATAATTAAATTCATTGAGATGGTGGGAGGGGCTCGTACTCCCAAGGGACAACAGCCCACAGGCCCTGTCCAATTAGTAAACAGCTAAAAAACAAAACAAAAAAAAAAAGAAAAAGAAAAAGAAAGGAAAAAAAAAAAAGAAAAAAAAAAGGCTTCCAGACTTAGATCTCTGGGAAAACAGAAGTAAATACTCACACAGTCTTGCTTTGTTTTCCCAAGAGAGGTCTCCCAGGCGATTTCTCTAATTATCCAGAAAAAAAATTTAAACTTGTTTTTCCCTTTAGATTTCAGCCGAGCTGAGGGGAAAATTGCAGTATTGCTTTAGATTCTCCAGCTTTGCTTTGGACGCAATATTGGTCTTAAGGGAGTTCCTCCAAGGTCTCTCTGAGCAATGAGTTTCTAGGTATTTGCTCCCAGTAACTAGGAGGGAGCTAAGAAGAAAGCAAGAGAGGCGGGGCGCAAGGGGCTTATTTTAAAAAGAAAGAAAAAAAGCGGAGGGTGCCGTCTGTCTCTTTAGCATAATTCCGTAGGAAAACTAATTGGGGCAAAAGGCAAGACCTAGCCTCTGGTCAGAGCCTCCGGACCAGATAGCACCTGAGCACTACGGCCAGGGAAGGACAGAGTCTCTTGAGTTCTCCCGCTGGCATCACTTGGCACCTAATTCCGCCAGGCTCCCATAGGGGCGGTTGCAGCTACATCCTAGCGCGCCGTCCAGCCAATAAGAAGCCAGGATTCCCCGCCTGTCTCGAATTTCAACCAATCGGCGGCCCGAACTTTAGCTTACTAACCCGAGCCTCCGTTGTCTGAGAAGAGAGGCAAGCCCCTTTAGAGTTGCCAATAACGGCCATGGCTGCGGCCCCTGGAGGAGGGGACGTGAAGTGAGGAGGGGGCTGGGAGGGGAGAGGACGCGGGCGAGGAAGACGGGCCGCCGGGCCCTGGTAAGTACAAGAAGGCCCGTGGCCCAAAAGTGGGGAGCAAGGGGGCGTGGGGCTCGGCCTTCCGCGTCCTCTGAATTCTCGGCCAAGGCGAGGGGAGTCTGGGGTCTGCACCCAGAGAATGGCCTCAGGGGATCCCTTCTCCTGAGGGGAGTCTAGGGGATGGCCGTTGTCTCCAGCTCTTGGCCATTTCCTTCCCCCATGTCCTCAGACTCTTGCTCTCGGCCCTGGCTTGGTCCCTTGGGGGTCTCTCGTCAGAAATAAAGCCTCTCGCCAACAAAGAATCCGTGCCCCAGGTTTGTCGTGGCTGGGCCCTGGCCCAGAGGGCGCCCAGCGCTGATGCCATGAGTATTTATAGGCCTCTGGGAGTCCCCACGCCCGGCCCAAATAAAGATCGTTTCTCCTGCGCGCGCTCCGCTGCCCGGGCCCTCTAGCCCTCCCTGAGCTGTGATGTTGCAGTTGCTTTTGGCCCCTTCCGTCTTTCCAGCGTCGTTTTAAGACTCCTCAGAAGCAACCATAGGATCACAATACTGGTCATCGTATAAACGGATTCCTGCCGCACACCCCTAATGCCCGCTTCTCACAGTCCCTCGCGTGCCATGATGTGAGCCCTTGCCCGGTGCCCAGTGCCAGCTGCAAGCAAAGCCCCGCTCTTTCATTGGTGTGTAGCCACCGGCTGCACTTCGGCGTGTTCATTGACGTGGTCACGTGCTGCTACATCCCACCCTCTCTTGCGAGTTTTTCTGTGGCTCTTGTGGGGAAAAAAGGAGGGAGATCCATACTGAATCTGTTTTCCTTCTGGTACATGCATTTGTGCATTGGAGGGATTGATAGTTCCTCATGCTTTATTCAAGACGCTCAACTTAGTTTCAGTTATTCTGTGGATACTCTTAGATGGAAGTGGAGAGGGGGAACGTTTTAACATTTTCATTTTACAGATGTGGAGACTGTTTGGAGGGGCAAAGGGTCAGGGCCAGGGTCACCCAGAGCCCAGATTCTTCAGTTCTTTATTCACTAGAGCAAATTGTTGTTTACTAGGTGCAGATCTAAGGAAATCCAGGTCCTTAACTTCTCTGAACCTCTTGGTGGTTTTAAGCATGAAATGAGATGGTGTTTGTAGGATCCCTAGCACGCTGTCTAGCACTTACTAGGTTCTTTTTTTTTCTCTTCTTTTTTTGAAACAGAATCTCGCTTTGTTGCCCAGTTTAGAGTGAGTGCCCTGGGGTCAGCCTAGCTCACAGCAACCTCAAACTCCTGGGCTCAAGCAATCCTGCCTCAGCCTCCCGAGTAGCTGGGACTACAGGCATGCGCCACCATGCCTGGCTAATTTTTTCTATATATATTAGTTGGGCAATTAATTTCTTTCTATTTATAGTAGAGACGGGGTCTTGCTCTTGCTCAGGCTGGTTTCGAACTCCTGACCTCGAGCAATCTGCCCACCCCGGCCTCCCAGAGTGCTAGGATTACAGGCTTGAGCCACCGTGCCCTGCCCTTACTAGGTTCTTAACCCATATTTGCATTCATTCATTTTAAGTAGCCACTGGGTAGTTCTCTGGCTAATTTCTTGAATTATTATTTATTGTGGTCTCTCTATATGTTGGGGCATAAATTATTTCAGTGATTCTTAGTTGAGAGGGCAGGGAGGGGTGTAGTCAGGAACAAGGTGAAGTTCTTCCTTGATTTTTGGGAACCATTATAGATGTTCCCATTAGAGATGTTATTAACAGGAATATGTTGCATACAAGAACAGTATGGGCCGGGCGTGGTGGCTCACGCCTGTAATCCTAGCACTCTGGGAGGCTGAAGCGGGCGGATTGCTCAAGGTTGGGAGTTTGAAACCAGCCTGAGCGAGACCCCGTCTCTACTAAAAATAGAAAGAAATTAATTGACCAACTAAAAATATTTCTACAAAAAAAAAAAATTAGCATGGTGGCGCATGCCTGTAGTCCCTGCTACTCGGGAGGCTGAGGCAGTAGGATCGCTTGAGCCCAGGAGATTGAGGTTGCTGTGAGCTAGGCTGATGCCACGGCACTCACTCTAGCCTGGGCAACAAAGCGAGACTCTGTCTCAAAAAAAAAAAAGAAATGCAGACTGTAGTTAACCCTGGAACAGGAGATAGCACGTTCAGATAAAATCCACAAACACCTTGCCAGTCTTATTTTAGCTGCAGTATTAGCTCTTACTTCCTTGCTCATTGGTTTTCTTTGTCACAACTGCAAAAAGGGAAACTGGTGGATACTGTGGAATAGTGCCTTGACCAGGGAGGTGAAGTATAAACCATCCCGTTGATAATCAGCTTCCAAATAACTGAGAGTTAACTGCCCTTGAATTCCCACCCCCACTCACCTACTGCCCCTTCTTTGTGGTGACCCCACATCAGATTAGGCTGGGAGAGCCAGGGCTGGGCGGTGAAATGGAAGAAAACAGAAAGCCCTTCATATTTCTATTTTGGGAAGTTGCTAGGGAGTGCCAGCTCCAAGTGTTGAGAATCAGCCTCTTGGAAGTCTTAACTCCTGTAGAACTAATGAGAAATGAAGGTTGTGATCCTTCCATTCCTCCCTGCTGCTCTTTCCTTAATTCGGGCTCAGGGCAACGATTTCTATACAAGAGCAAGGAACACTAATGTATGATAAATATTACCTACACCCAAGGTCTTATGTATTTAGCCTAATCTAGTGAGTCAAGTTGAGCTCTGACAGTAGCAGTCTGAGCTGGAAAGACACAAAGCCTCCAAGTCCATTCCTGGTGTTCAAATGAGAAGTTTCTAGGTCAGGCTTGGCACCTGCAGGTTAAATGTGTGTCAATATCTTTTGTCTTGTTATTGTGTCAGTGTTATTTCTAGGATGGTGTGTCTTTCTTTACCTAAAAGATGGGCTCCTTTAAAAATATTGTTTAAGCCCTGTTTCCAAGCAGGCCTGGATTTGTTTATAGCAGCACAGGTGAACTAAGGGATAGGCCATGGCTAAAACAGGAATGGTTTTCTTCCAAGCTGACCTGCCAGCCAGAATGTGTGGTTTGATGATCAGGGGTTTGTGTAATGATAAGCTTGCCTGTGGCTGCCGAGACAGTAGTAAACAGTGCGGGTCCCATGGCATGGCAAGTATGGTTAGGGCCACATTTAGATCCAATACTGATGCCTGATCTCACATTGATTGCTTTGGGTTTCTCTAGCTCCAAAGGCCAAAAGTTATGGGGGGATGGTGGGAGTGCCTAAGAGAAAGAGAACCTTGAAGGGCATAGAGTGGCATTTAGGGAACTAGAAATTTTAGTGTACTACAATTAAATGAACCCAGTTTTTGTAATTTCAGGATCCTCTTGAAAAGGAAATTTGTGATACCAATTTTCCTTAGGGAGGTGAACAGAAAAATACTAGGAAACACTCAGAAAAGGTGCATGCCGGAGAGAGAGACTGAAAGGTCTACTCAAAGAGCATAAACCTCCATTAAGTTGACATGGAGCCCAAGGAAGGAATATTGCTTAAAAACATAAGGCAGAGCCTATTGCAATATGAGAATCGGAAGTTGCTTGCTTTTTAAATTATGGTAAAATATACATAGCATAAAATTTACTATTTTAACCAATTTTATAGCATTAAGTGCAACATTCACATTGTTGTGCAACCATCACCATTATCTATCTCTAGAACTTTCTCATTTTCCCAAACTGAAACTCTGTCCACATTAAACACTAGCTCCCAGGCCGGGCGCGGTGGCTCACGCCTGTAATCCTAGCTCTCTGGGAGGCCGAGGCGGGCGGATTGCTTGAGGTCAGGAGTTCGAAACCAGCCTGAGCAAGAGCGAGACCCCGTCTCTACTATAAATAGAAAGAAATTAATTGGCCAACTAATATATATATACAAAAATTTAGCCAGGCATGGTGGCGAATGCCTGTAGTCCCAGCTACTTGGGAGGCTGAGGCAGGAGGATCGCTTGAGCCCAGGAGTTTTGAGGTTGCTGTGAGCTAGGCTGACGCCACGGCACTCACTCTAGCCTGGGCAACAAAGCGAGACTCTGTCTCAAAAAAAAAAAAAAAAAAAAAAAAACACTAGCTCCCATTCCCCCCTATTCCTATCCCTGGCATCTATCTTTCAACTTTCTGTGATTCTGACTACACCAGGAACCTCATGTAAGAGGAATCATACAATATTTGTCTTTTTGTGGCTGGCTTTTTTCACTTGACATAATGTCTTTAAGGTTCATCCACATTATAGCATGTGTTAGAATCTCCTCCCTCTTTAAGACTGAATAATATGCCATTGTAGGGATATACTTCATTTTGTTTACCCGTTCATCTGTCAATGGATAGGGGTTGTGTCCACCTCTTGGCTATTGTGAATAAATAATGCTCTTATGAACATGGGTGACAATTATGTGTTTGAGTCCTTGTTTTCACTTCTTTTGGGGATATGCCCAGAAGTGAGAAGTTGCTGATTTTTTAAAAGATACAGGCTGGGTGAGGTGGCTCACGCCTGCCTGTAATCATAGCACTCTGGGAGGCTGAGGAAGGTGGACTGTTTGAGCTCAGGAGTTCAAGACCAGCCTGAGCAACAGCGAGACCCTGTCTCTACTAAAAATGAAAGGAATTAGCTGGACAACTAGAAATATATAGAAAAAATTAGCCGGACATGGTGGCGTGTGCCTGTAGTCCCAGCTACTCTGGAGGCTGAGGCAGAAGGATTGCTTGAGCCCAGGAGTTTGAGGTTGTTGTGAGCTAGGCTGACACCATGGCACTCTAGCCTGTGCAACAGAGTGAGACTCTGTCTCAAAACAACAAAAAAATACATTGGATACATTCACATGGTTTGAAAATTAAAGCAAAATGTGCACACTTGACTACTCTAAAAAAATCAAAAGGTACAAAAATATATAGAGTAGGCCGGGCACGGTGGCTCACGCCTGTAATCTAGCACTGGGAGGCCGAGGCAGGCGGATTGCTCGAGTTCAGGAGTTCAAAACCGGCCTGAGCAAGAGCGAGACCCGTCTCCACTATAAATAGAAAGAAAT